TTTTTTTTTTTTTTTAATATAACACTGTCATAGAAGTTGTTGTAAGCAGCCTTCAAATCCACTCTTAACTTATGGCTGCTTCATAAATAACAAAGCAAAAATGATAATTGGTTTTGTGCCATCCCCATGATCCACTGAAGATTGGACTATTGTGATCCATAAGGTTTTCAGTGGTTGATACTTTCTTCTTCGTCCATTTCAATCTGGACATGCCATTAAACCATGCTCAGCATCATAGCAGTGTGTGAACCTCCAGGCACAGATGGGTAGTGGCTGTGCTTGGAATGTATTAGCACAGTAATTTATTTTATGTATGTATACTTTATCTCTGAGTTAGATTTATCATCCATTCTTTGAGACTTTGGAGGTGACAAGAGTTATTTATAACATGTAATTAACATATTTTGACTCTTAGCTTCTTTGTTTTGTTGGTTCTTAATGTCTTTTTTTTTTATTCTTAACTTCTTAATGTTATTGATGTTATATGCTGTCCAATCAAGACCAACTCATAGCTGACCCTCTGACAAACTTTCAGAAGCTGTATTTTGCATGGGAGGAGATTGCCCATCTTTCTCCCATAGAATAATGGGTAGATTTGAACCCCTTGCCTACCGCTTGCCTTTGAGTTGGCAGCACAACTCCTTATACACAAGGCCACCAGAGCTCCCTGTATCTTCTTTTTTTTAAAAAAAAAATTATTATTTATTTCGATGAAAATTTACAGAGACTTTGGATTAACATTCATTCATTGTTGCACTTTTCTCCCCTCCCAACCCTCCCCCCCCAGTATACTACCCTCTTGGAAAAGTAAAAGAAAAATTCTTTCATTGTTTTACAATCCCTGCCCCCCAGGTCCACATCTGTTTCAATGCAGTATACATTATTAAACCCATCTTTCTCAGTCTCCCCCCAACCCCGAGGTCAGTCCTGGTTTACAACAGTGGCACCATGCGGTATTTGTGAACAAATCCGTGATAAACATGACTGTGCATATATCTGCTTGGGTGGTAGTTATGGTCTCTTTGGGGTATATTCCCAGTAGTGGAATTGCTGAGTCAAATAGTATCTATTTGCAACTTTTTGAGAAAGCACCACACTGCCTTCCACAGTGGTTGCACCATTTTATGCTTCCACCAACAGTGAATAAGGGTTCCAGTTTCTCCACAACCTCACCAGCATTTGTTGCTTACTGTTCTGTTAAATTTTGCTATTCTGACTGGGGTGAGATGATATTTCATATTTATCTGTCTTCTTAATATCTGTGTAACTTGCTAACTCTTACTTGTTTTAATAGTAAGGAAACAACTTTGTAAAAAAAATTTTATTAATTTTAATGAACATTTACAGAGATTATGGATTTCCATTCATTCATTGTTGCACTTTTCTCCCTGCCCAGCCCTTTCCCCAGTTCACTCCTCTCTTTGAAAAGTAAAAGAAAAATTATTTCATTGGTATACAATCCCTCTGCACCCCCACACACACCACCCCCGAGTACACTCTACTATGCAACCTTAATTTTGGACTCTTGTGATAACCATAATACCCTATCATATATCGCTTTTAAATTATTCTCTCCCTCATCTGTTTCAATGCAGTATACATAATTTATTCCGTTTTTCTCAGTCTTACCCCAACCCTGATGTCAGTC